TGTTGCTGTAACAAATTACCACTTATTCAGTGCCTTTATAACAACATATGTTTCTTATCTTATAATTCTGGAGTTTAGAAGTCTGAAATGGTCTTACTGGACTAAAATCAAGGTGTTGGCTGAGTTTCTTCTGGAGGTTCTAGAGGATAATCTGTTGCCTGGCCTTTTTTAGTTTCTAGAGGCTGCCTGCACTCCTTGGCTCATGGTCACTTTTGCTATTTTCAAGGTCAGCAGTGTAGCATCCTCAAATCTCTTGATTCTGACTCATCAGCCTCCCACATCCACTTATTATTATTATTTTTTTTTTAAGTAAGCTCTACCCCCAACGTGGGGCTCAAACTCATGACACCAAGATCAAGAGTTGCATGCTCTACTGACTAAGCCAGCCAGGTGCCCCCTCCCTCATTCACTTATAAAGACTTTTGTAATGATACTGAATAATCCAGAATAATTTCCCCATCTCTGTGTCAGAGGATTGGCAACCTTATTTCCATATGTAGCCTTAATCCCTTCTTCCATATGACATAAGATACAGATTCCAGAGATTAGGAGAGGGGCCTCTTTGGGGAACCATTATTCTGCTTACCAGAAGGAGCTATGTTTACAAAGTGAAGGAGGGGGCAACAAGCTGAGTCTGACTTTCTGTGGTCCTTTCCCCATCAAAGCAATAGTTGATTCAGGGACCAGCTGGCTACAAAACCTTTATTAAAATGATAGTTAAGAGCCTAGAAACCTGAACAGAGCTGTGGGGGGACAAAAATTGGCTTTCATGGCCTGCCTAAGAGTACTGGCCCTGGTTAACACTAGAAATGTCAATGTAGGACCATGGAAATAGACAGGCTAAAATACAGATTTAAATACAATCATTTCCAGACGTGATAGAAGTGCTTGACCCCTATTCTAACTGCTTGACAGAAGCAAAGTAAAATCTCTTTGAAGGAAAGCATCGTCAGCAAAAAACTCAAACTATCTCTACAAGTTTACCTTCATAATGTCTGACATTCCACTGAAAACTTGTAGGCATATCAAAGGATCAAGTTACCATAAAAAAAACACAATAGAATCAGGTTAATGGGTGATGCAAATCTAAGAGTTATCAGTGACGGGCATCAAAATAAATGTGATGAATGTGTTTGAGAAAACAGGCAACAAGATGAGTAATAGATAATAATCTGAGAGTTGAGATTTATAAAAAAAGAATGAAACTGAAATTCCAGAACTATAAAAAAATAATTACTGCAATTAAAAAATAAATGGGCTAAACAACATACACGGAATAGTAGTAGGGAAGAATGGAAAATTAAAAGAGAAAATAGAAAATATCAAAACTGAAGAATGGAAAGAAGAAAGAACGGAAATAAAGCTATACAGGATGAAATGAAAAAGTCTAACATCTGCATAATTAGGTCTTAGACCGAGAGGAAAGAGAGAACAGAGCTTAAGCAGTATTTGAAAGGATAATGACTGACAATCTTCCAAAAATGACAAAAGACATCAAGTCTTAGTTTCAAAAAGCTTAAGAAACCCAAGCATAATATGCATATGTATTTAAAATCACAGCTACATACACATAGTCAAATCTTTTGAAAACCCAAAACTGAGAAAATCTTAAAAGTAGTCAGGTGGAGGGGGGTGCCTGGGTGGCTCAGTCATTAAGTGTTTGCCTTTGGCTCAGGTCATGGTCCCAGGGTCCTGGGATCGAGCCCCGCATCGGGCTCCCTGCTCAGTGGGAAGCCTGCTTCTCCCTCTCCCACTCCCCTGCTTGTATTCCCTCTCTCACTGTGTCTCTCTCTGTCAAATAAATAAATAAAATCTTAAAAAAAAAAAAAAAAGGCAGTCAGGTGGGGGAAGAAATCACCTCCAAAGCAACAGCAGTAAAACGGACAGCTGGTCTCTGATCAGAAGTGATGCAAGTCAGGGGACAACAGAATAGTATCTTTTATGTGCTGAAAGACAGTAACTGCCTAGCTAAACTTCAGTTCCATGAAAAATGTACTTCTCAACTAAAGGTAACACAAAGACATTTTCAGACAAACAAAAACAAACTGTTGCCAAGAGAACTTTACTAAAATAAATAATAAAGGGATTTTTTTTTTTAAGCAAAGAAAAATAATTCCAGTTGGAAGCATGGAAATGGGAAAGCGGCTGAAGGGGTATGAATGGGTCAATTTGTGGGTAAGTCACAGTGACACTGGCTGTGTAACATGATGCAGGTAACGTTTTGTGGTGTTCGAACTGTGTGCAGAATTTTTTGTTTTGTTTTTAATGATAACACAAAACCAGGAGAGCTGGTAAGGAAGATCTAAGGTTCTTGCATTTATTTGGAAAGTGGTAAAATTCTAATTTATATTAGGATTAAGTTAAGTCCAGAACTTATATTTTACCCTTGAGTATAATCGTTAAACAAGATTAAATGATGTACAGCATAACAAGCTTCCAGAGGGGAAAAAACCCAAAAATGACATAAAACATTTGAGTAATATAAAAGGATGCAATAAAGAAAAGAGAAATACAAATAAGTAAGATGAGTAGGAAACAAACAGTAAAGCAGTAGATTTAAACACAATATATCAGTAATTACACTAAATGTAAATGGACTATTCCGTTTAAAAAATATTGTCAGGCTCTATTAAAGAAATATAAAACCCAATTATATGCTACTTAAAAGAGATACATCTTAAATATAAGGATACAGAAAGATTGAAAACAAAGAGCTGAAAAAGATGTCCCAAGTAAACATTAATCAAAAGGAAGTTGGCATTGTTATACTACTATCAACAAAATAGACTTTAGGGCAAGAAGCATTACTAGACTTAAAAAGGGACACTTTATAAGAATAATGTTGATTTAATTTGCCAGGAAAGTATAACAATTCTATGGCTGTATGCATTTAATGACAAAATAAATAAAGTAAAAATGTATGTAAAAGGAGAATAGGAAAATCATATTAATTATATAATATTCATATTATATTGTAGCACATATTACATATAATATCATATATATATTAGAATACTGTACAGTGATGAAAATGAAGTAACAACTGCTACATTCAAGAGAGTAAATAAATCTCATGAACATAAAGTCAAGCAAAAATGTCCCAAAGAGTACATACGAAATGTGTCCATTTATAAAAATTCAAAACTAGCAAAGGTAACCTTGGATATTAGAACTCAGGATAGTGGTTACCTTGGGAAGAAGGGGGAATAGTGACTACGGTGGGGACATTAGTTCTATTCTATTTCTTTATTTAGGTGATGGTTACATGGGTATCTTTGCTCTGTGAAAATTTATTTACTTGTACATTTGTGATTTGTGAATTTTTCTATATTATGTTATAACTCAATAAATAAGTTTATTTTTAGAAAGGAACGAAGCAGAATCAATCTTATATAACTGTTAAAATTATGTAAAATTTATGTAACATTGTGCACATAGGAATTAATTAAAATTAATTAATCCGACAATTTCGGATGCCAAAATGTTGACTTTTTCTTTTCTCTTAAAAAAACATATTTAAATTGCTATATATATAACTTGTGTTATTTAAAAACAGACAAATAAATACCAAAAATGAAGCCTAGAATATCTTCTGCAAATGGAGAGCCTCCACTTGTCCAGGGATTCCAATCTTTTGGAATCAATCTCAGAGTTAACCAATTATTGTGATTTCTCAAGTCAATACCCAACCCAAGACTGCCCATGCTCCCGTTTATAGAAGACCCAGGGCGGACACCGTGCTCACCGTCTCCTCTCCAGATCTCTCTGCAGGTCAACAGACACCCCTCTCTCCGTCCTTCACCAGCCTCATTTTCAGACCTCACATGCGTCCTGCCAGACCTGTTTCTGCTCTGACTCATTTACTTTGCTGTGGCACTGGTTTTTAATTCTTTGGTATAATTTATCTCAATTTAGAAACTATAACGTTTTAAGTTTTCCAACATAGAGTTTCCTTTTCCTCGAGCCCAGAACTATGTCTCGCAACTGTTTGCTTTGTTCAAGGTAGTTAATGTTGCACAATATTTAAATTTCGTATATGTTTTTAAATGGTTAGAATGATGGGTGGGGGACGGAAGGGTACCTTCATACATTAGACTACCCATAATTTCTGCTTGATCTGTCATTTCTTCTAACATAAGGGAGTAATGCAGATCACAATTCAGTGACCCTTACGAAATTTGTTGTGAACTCTCATTTACTTTTCCAAAGCAAAGTACTTTCAAGGTAGTATGCCTCTGAGATTAATTTTTATTTGGAGCATGGATTTGCCTAATGAAAAGCTCGAGCATTGGAAAGCTGTAATTCCAAATACTCAGAACTACAGAACTAAGGTCCCAATGTTGCCTCCAATAAAAAAATTGCAGGAAAAAAAAATTCAGGTCCAGAAGACTTAAATTTCTCCTCTTGACTAACTAAGCAAAAGCATTCTCAATTTCTCCAAGAACTTTCTGGAGGTAAACAGTGTAATCATCACGTATTCACCAACAAAGCCCTGCCGACCCTTGAGGAGCTGAGACCTGCAGACTGGAGGCACAGTGGACAGGCTTGGCCAGGAGCAACGTCTGACCCCTGAAGTGGAGGTCACACTAGAGGCATCAGATGGACAGATTTTGTCCTGGGGCTTCATGTGTGAGCCCCAAATGTGAGCACAGATTTGCCAGGAGAGATTACACTGAATCTAACTCATGTCATTTGTTCAAGCTCCCCTTTGTTCCCAAACAGACTAACCTTGTCTTTAATGATAAAGCCCCTTTTTGGGCTGAGTATTACCTTTTTGATTGTCACCTTGTCTCCTGAACAATATCTAAACTTTTGACTTGTTTCACATGAAGCACTATGTACTTTAATGAACTCAGACACTCTGCTCTGTGGAATGTAGGGTCGCAGAAGACACACTTTGACCCTGCGTAGGCCAGTCATGCCTCACTGGTGTTCAGGCTTTCGTTTCAAGCCCACCATCCCCTTCCCCACAATCTACAGGTCCCGAAGTGTCTCCATACCTGATAGAAGTCATCCACCTGCCGCACATAACCAGCCACTTCGTTATCGGATTTAAAGATCTTCCAAACTTTTCTTTCTGCCTGCTCGTATTTCTGGGACCCCTTCCACTTCATGGCCCTCAGAGAGCGCTCGGTCAGGGAAGCTGCCACAATGATGTCCAGTTGGCCATTGTAGATCAGAACCTGAAACAAAATTGAGCTGTGGGCAAATGTGGGATTCAGCAGGTAAAGTCGGGTAATCTATCTAGGTATAGATAGTGTGTGCACGAGAGAAAAGGTAACGGGAGGTTTTCTGATACTGTGCTCAAGAGAGGCCAGCCCAGCAGGTGAGTGGGGTCATTTTCTTCCAGCTGGCCACACACACCAACAACCTGAAATCAACACAAGCCTTGGCTCAGCCATTGCAATTCTTCCAGAAGTTCGAACCTTCATAGGAATCTGCATAAAGGCTTCTCTCAGTTACAAAAGCATTTGTGTTGTATTATCCAGTGATAACTCTTCGGTGCACAGCTATGTTCAAGAAGAGGACTATGGTTACATTTTACCGGAACGAGGAACACTACACCATTGGATTTGTGTGAAGACCGCATTTCATTAACTCAGCTTTCAGGCTGGTGAGCTGAGCATTGTCTCAGGAGCTGCTAATCCATACTGCTCTCCCCTCCAACACTGATTTTTACAGTGGCATCTATAACTTTATGAGGCAGATGGATAGAAGCAGGTGCCTCAGATTTGTTTCTTGTTGGAGGCAACTCTGTTTGCCATGCCATTTACAAGGACTCCTTGTCTTAGGCGTGACAGCCACTTGTCAACAATGAGGAATGTCTCTTCTTCCTAGAGTACAATTTTTATTTTTTTTGCTAAGATGGTGGATATTAGAGGAGAAACAACTCCGAAGCAACTCCTGTCTTTTCTCCAAAAACAATAAAACAATATTCAACTGGCTTGGGAAAGAATTCAGATAATACCCAGTGCTGATGAAGTGTAAAATGGCGCTACTCTTCAGGAAAGCGATGATACATTTTTAACAAAAAGATTTGAAAATGCTGAGACTCTCTGTGCCAATAACCCCAGTTTGTGGAATGAATTCTATGAAAATAAGCCCCCCAAATACACACACACACACACACACACACACACACACACACATATATATATAACCATATTCATTGGGTGTTATAAATGAAAAACTGAAACACAGTCTAAAAGTTCAATAATTAGTGAAGGGGTTGAATAAACTATGGTACAGAAATTCTATGGGATAGTGCAAAACCATTTAAAATGTTCCACTGAACCATGTAGCAATGTGGAAAATACTTCTCACATACTGTGAAGTATGAAAGCTGAAAGTCAAATATATATCACAATTGTGAATGTAGAATTCTAATAGGCATACATGTTTACATATATGGAATACAACTTTAAAAAACACGAAAACAGTTGGTTAACTTAGGTGGTACAAATCTGAGTAATATTCTCCTTTGTTTTCCACTCTTTTTAGGTTATTTTTATGCAACTAACACGATATTATTAATTCTCGTAAGGCATCGTCACTCAACCCCCAACAAAGAGGTTTTCCTCAACTCCATGCTACCTTTGATCTACTTGGAAGTTCTGGTTTCGCTCAAGTGAAGACTTTTGGTTGAATCCTCAAATTGGATATAAAATGTTTCACTACATATGTTTCCATCTCTGCCTTCCTGGTGTAGGCTTCTTAAAAGGCTTGCACATAATTAAACAGCCCGGACTTTTACACACTCCAAATCCTCAAGCAGCAGTGGGCCAGGATTCAGCCTAAGATGAAAGAGCCCTGGGCCTCTGCGGCCAGAGCCCGGGATCTTTTATGTTACCCCATCACCATCACCACCTCCGCTCTCCTAAGCAGAAACCCAAAGGGAAAACTCCTGATCGATTTAAAGCCTCTTTAAAAAACTCAATTCAACTCTAGCAATAAAAATTTGCATTGTTTATACAAAGAAATTGCCTCAAAGACCTTGGGTACTTATGGCCCATGCAAAACTCCTACAGCTGTTTTGCCAACAGTATGGAAACAATTACCCATGACCTGTACCAGCAAACAAGACTTAAATCCTCCACCAATTGAGGAAGGCCTGATTAACAAAGATAATCATCTATAAAGTAATTCCTCTTCTAGAATTCCATGAAAAGATGCTGATTAACTAGCAAATACGCAAGTACATCTGGTTGTTTTCCACTCTGTGGCCACTAAATGAAGCTCACATCTTTCTGAGTGTCTCTTGGAGCTACTTTACTATCATTAGTATATTTTGAAATTGATTTGAATTTTTTATCTTTCAGGGATGCAAATCCACAGGTTACGGCAAAAACAGGCTTATTTGTACCGCAGTAGAGTACATGTTCGTTGGACTGAATTGAAATGAAGTCCATCCCTGAGCTGTGCCCCTTGTTATTCAAGACTCATCACAAACAAGAGCACTAACTCTCTGGAACGAGGCAGTGGAGGGCTGAACTGCATAATTTTGTGCATGTGATGTGTAGAAGGCCTACTTCTGGCGGCAAATGGAAATCTTCTTAAAGCAAGGAACACATTTTTAACTTCTAAAGGGCACATAAGTCAAATGCAAAAAAAAAAAAGAAAGAAAGGAAAGAAATCAGAGTAATGATCAAGCGAGGTGATTTCAAAGCTGGCATTTAAGGCTGCCAGCATTAAATATAAGAATTCCAGGGCTTTTATTTTTATCTAAATGTCACATTTACTCTCATCAGCCCTGACAGGAATATCTCAGTTGCCTTTAGGGCTGGGTGAGTGGGAAAAGATATCCCAGGATCCAGTGACAGTGAGCCGAGGAGCCAGGTGGGTAGAGCTTAGGGGTGGGTGGTCCGGAACCCATGTCCTGGTAGTCAAGAGAGGTTCCAGGACAAAGCCGAAGCCCTGACGAGCTGGTCAGTTATGAAAGATCTGCATACATTTCCTCCACTTCTTCCTGGTGGGGTGACTAGCTGCCCCAGTCAGCCTGGCCTGAGGAGTTTCCCAGGAGGCAGGGCTTTCAGGCTAACCCTGGGACAGTCTGGGGCAAACCTCTCCCTGAGGCTTGCTGGTATTTTAGGCAACAAATCTAAAGACAGAGAGGAGGAGACAGAAGTGAATGCAGCTTTCAGCTACGCTCCTCTTCTCAGTAGGGACTGTAAAAAAACAAGGCAGAAGGGAAAGACTGGTTGGATGGAGGTGGTTTGCTGTGACAACACCAGGCAGCTCCCCGAAACCCCCAGTTTCCTCACTTTCCTTCCTGGACAGCTGTGAAGCCTCACTCAGTTAAACAGCAAAGGCACTCCCTTTAGAGAATTTTCTTTTCTTTCACTACTTGGAGGTCTGACCGGTTAGCTTGGTGAAATTGGTGGTTTTGCGAAGACATGGAAAAATAACTTATTAAAAAATCAATGAAGACCATGATTCCACTGTTTCTACTCTATAACATTTTCAAAAAGATGCTTCAAACTTGGGAAAGGAATACATCAAAATACTAACAGTTAAGGTAGCTAAAATACGGATGATTTGTTTTGACTTGACTGTTTTCTAGGGTTTTTTTGGGGGGGTAAATGTAATTAGGATATTTTTATAATGAGAAAATAGTAAAATAATAACACTAAGAGGTTGGGAACCTTGGTTGGCAAAAGTTGGGTCTTTACTGAGGAATAATTTGTATTAACTCAAATATTACCAGCTCTCGATTTTCATGACAACTAGGTAAATAGCCTAACTAGTTTGTTTGTAGATGATCTTAAAAGCCCATTCCAGAATTCAGGCATTTATTAGAAATGGTAGGAGGTGACTGGATTATAAGCATTGTTTGTTTGGTCAAAGGGCAGAGGTGAGAAAAGCATTTTTGTTATTTACCTTCCCAAGTGCTTTCTTGTACGTATGCTTTATTCTCGTACTGCCTCATGAGGTCAGGAAGAGAGGAATTACAATGTCTGCCTCTACTTAACTGTTAAGGAAATTGGGACTCAGTGAGGTGCCAGAATGTTTCTGAGATCCCAGACTTCCAAACTCCTACCTAGAACTCCTTAAGAAAAAGAGCTAAATTCCTTCAAACCAACAGACATTTCCTGACGCCCCACAGCTAAATGTTTAGTGCTACCGAAAGGCTCTGGGAAGGGAGAGTTGGTTGAGTAGGAGACACAGTTCACATTTCTGGTTCACAAACAACCTCGGTCTGTTCGTCCAACTCTGGTGACATCTCTCAGTCATTTCTCACTGTGGCTCTCTGGACAAGGATGTGTACGAGACCGTTATTCAGCTGGTGACAGATGCCTCACTTGTGTGGTAGGGAGTGCCACTGATGAAGCAGCTTGGTATATATAGCATCGGCTCCCTGAGAACGGGGCTCTCCTAGCGCTTGTTCTGCCTGCAGCCTTGCGCAGGGCCCGGCCTCCCGTGAATGGTATTGACACTTACTGGGTAGAGTCAGTTGCACTTTCTAAAAGTTTTCTGTAATGCTGTATGTTGATCGTTTGCTTTGGCCTGCCTAGGTCCACTCTCCCTTCCTCTGATAACAGGACTCCCACACCCTCAATGGATCCAGCCTTAGTGGAGGCTGTCAATCGCAATATCCTGCCTCCTCCGTGCACGGGATGAGCATCTGTCCTAAGGTAGGGCGCTCAAATGCTCTTTTCATAAAATCTGAACTGTGGGCAGAGGGACATAGGGTTCCCCGATGAGTCTGCCCATTAGCTTTCCTACCTGGATCCCCAGAATTTTCCTTGGTCCCAATCTTTTCTCACTCCAGGTCTTCAATTTTTCCGTGAATTCTGTGACCTATCATGTCTTCTGATCAATTCCTTTTATGCTTCGAGTAAGCCCAGTTGTTTCTGTTGCTGAAAGCATGAAATCCAAACTCCTATACCAGTGAATGGACCTGTTGTCACCCAGGACCCAGCATGCAGTAACTGGGAACCCCTGGACATGTGGGTTAGCCTCCACGGGCTGTGCTCCCTTTTCTGGACATGAAGATGGGAAGACCTACATCTCACTGTAGTGAGAGTAAATGAGATACTGTGCACAGAGTTGCTAACATGGTGCCTGACGTAAATTAGGAGTTTGGTGCGTGTTCGGTCCTCCTCCTTCTCAAGTAGGTTGATGACTGGAAAATGACTTGGAAGACTCAATAAAGCCCTTCTTCTAAAATAAGGCTTCAGAATAC